AATTTCTACGCATGAAATCTTTATTTCTGGTGGCCATCACTTCTGCAAGACGGATCTCGGAACTGGGCGCCTTGTCCATTCGAAAGGATTTGTGTGTCTTTCATAAAGATAAGGTGGTTTTAAGGACGGATCCCACCTTCCGTCCAAAAGTTTCTTCGAAGTTCCATAGAACTCAAGAAATTTGCCTTCCGTCCTTTTGTCCTAATCCATCGCACCCGAGGGAGAGGATCTGGCACACGTTGGACGTCAGGAGAACGCTCAAGTGTTATCTCATTAGAACAGCCACGTTCAGGAAAACAGAGACTTTGTTCGTTAACATTTCTCCACCACACACTGGCACAAAGATGTCTAACTCAGCAATTAGTACCACAATTCGGTCTTGCATAGCGGAGGCTTACAAGAGTCTTAACCAGAAGGTGCCAGTAGGGATCACCGCCCATTCCCTTCGAAGCGCAGCGACTAACGCCGCGTTTTGCAACAGAGCCTCAGTTGAGGAGGTTTGTAGGGCTGCTACTTGGTCCACTTTGTCGACCTTTATTAGGCATTACAAAATTAATGTGTTTGACTCTGCCGATGCGGCCTTTGGGAGACGGGTGCTACAATCTATCCTGTCTCTTCATGACGACCCTCCCTCCCAAATTTAGGGACACTGCTCGGGGAGGTCCCACAAGATGGCCTCCACCTCAGAGGGAGAACGACCATTGGTTACTCACCGTGAGGGGTCCTTCTCCTCTGAGGCTTGGAGGACATCTTGGCCCTCCCGGGTCGTCTTCTCGGTTCTTCTGATGTATATATGTTTCTTCTGTTACCTGAGTTTTACACGTTCCTCTGCAGTTTATGTTTGTTGATGCTGTTGCTTGAGTTTTTTCTCACTATTTAGCTTCTCATATTGCTTTTGGAGTCACAAAACTGAGCTGAGGGTGACTCCCAACACAGGAAACAGGAAACAGTTTGAAGTTCCTGCCTCCCTAAGAGATGGTTGGGAATCACCCACAAGATGTCCTCCAAGCCTCAGAGGAGAAGGACCCCTCACGGTGAGTAACCAATGGTCGTTCTAGGCTGAGTCATAGCGTTGGTCTAAATGTACTGTGGACTTGTTCCCTGTATCCACACCAGCCATGCTACCCTCATGTTGATGCTGGGAAACAGCTGCTGCCAATATGACTTTTACATCAAAGGCACAGCACACATAGCTTCTTCTTGACCCATAATAACTCTTGAAAGATAAAATCTAAGAACAACCCCACCCCCAGTCCAAACCCAACACACAGTATAATCATGGAAACTGCACAAATGCAATACCATTATTGACATTATTCGATAATGGAGAGTGACTCCAAAGACCAGTGTTGAGCCTGATGTGGGTTTTCAGCCAACATTAAAATAATAGCAGCTTTAAATACTACTTTTTATGTGTCCTGGAAACAGTATGCAGACACCACACCAGGTAAAATTATTTTTCAGTGATTATTGCTGCTTTTAGAGTAGATATTTTTCTGTCTGAAGACTTTTTTCTGTGCACTTTAAACTTGTAATAATAAATCTTATCTCTCCTAGTTTGGAAAGTATTCTCAAAGATCAGGTAGTATTGCAGCATAAATCAGTCTTCTTTAACTATATCAACTAGATCCCAACTGTGATGGATTTTAAAACAAAAGGATTTTGTACAATTATCTATGGAAGTTGGTTTTATATGCAGTGTTCATTTAAATCCAGTGTGGCTTGCCTGTTGCCTATTGAGAGTAGTGAACAAATGGGCTTTTTTTGTTTTGGGGCATTTCCATACACCTAAGATTGTTATTGGAACACCTACAGTACATTTTGTAGCACCGAATAGTTACTTATTACAAAGTTGTGATAACACAAGTTATGCTGTTAGCTCTTAATTTTTTAAAAATAATTGTCATCCTCCCCTTGATTTTTAGTGCCTACATCATGATTTTCTCATGATGATGCAAGTTACTTCCATAATATTTTCTTTAAGCAGAACATTTTGATCTCATAAGAACATAAGAAGACCCAAGCATCGTGTCTCACACAGTGACCAACCAGTTCCGCTGGAAGGCCAAGGCCTTCCCCTGATGTTGCCTCCTGGCTCTGGGATTCAGAGGACTAGTGCCTCTGAATGTGGAGGTTCCCCTCAGTCATCACAGCTAGTAGCCATTGATAGACTTATCCTCCATGAATCTGTCTAATCACCTTTTAAAGCTGTTTATTTCTGTGGCTGTCACTACATCCTGTGGCAGCGAATTCCACATTTTAAACACTCTCTGCATAAGTAGTATTTCCTTTTGTCCCTCCTGAACCTACTGGCCATCAGCTTCATTGGATGACCCCAAGTTCTAGTATTTTGGGAGAGTGAGAAAAATATCTCTTTGTCAACTCTCTTTACCCCATGCATAATTTTATAAACCTATTATTATGTCCCGCCCTTAGTAATCTCTTTTCTAAACTGAAAAGTTCAAGACTCATAGAATCACAGAATTATAAGGTTAGAAGGGACCTCCAGGGTCATCTAATCCAGCCCCCTGCACAATGCAGGAAATTCACAAATACCTCCTCCCCACACCCCCAGTGACCACTTTTTCATGCCCAGAAGATGACAAAAAACTTCTAGGCTCTCCAGCCAAATAGGCCTGGAGAAAAATTGCTTCCTGACCCCAATGTGGTGATCAGCATTTCCCTGGGCATGTAAGAAGGGCCACCAGAACTAAGCACTGATGGAACCCTTCTTGCCCTCCTTCTCATGATCTGCCTAAGTTCACAGAATCAGCATAGCTGTCAGATGGCCATCTAGCCTCTGTTTGAAAACCTCCAAAGAAGGGTCCTTTCTGCATTTGCCTGCCACTCCAGATTTTCTCAGTGTTCAAGTCAAGGCAGTTTAAGTCCATGGTAAAACAGCATCGAAATAACCCATGGCAACAGCAGGCTGAAATTGGGCTGACCACTGAAGGGAGGTAATGACACCTTCTATATAGCCAGTCATTGATCTGTAGTATTCTTTCCCTTCCTGAGCCATGACCTTTGACAGGAAGAACTGATGAAAATACCACCTGCGCTCCCAATTCCTTCCCCTTTTTACCCAGAGCCACATAGTCTCTTTTAATACATTCTGGGCTGTGCTGGGTGGTATCATTTGTTCCCACATGGATGAGCAAGAAGGGATAATAATCTGTGGGCTTGATGAGTCTTCCTACCCTTTCCATCACATCCTGGATGCGTGCGCCTGGTAGACAGCTTACCTCTCGAGACGACAAGTCCAGTTGGCACACTTTAGCTTCTACCCCTCTCAGTAGGGAATCCCCAATTACCAACACATGCCTTCTCCTATATTGGGGAGCAGAAGTTTGAGTCCTCTCATCCACAGGGGTCTGAAAATTTTTCTTCAAGCTTCGTGGAGGCTGGGGGAGGAGTCCTTGTTCCAATGGTTCAGAATCACTATCTGTGGGGAGATCCAGGAACCAATTGCTTGGTGACAGAGGCTCAGAGTATCTCTTGATTTTCCTGTTCCTGTGGGTTACATTCTTCCATGTGACCTCCTCCTGTGTCGGGTGCTCCTCCATTTGCTGAGATACCTTTGCCTCCTCCTCCTGTTGCCCTCTCAGGAGTGCTTCATGCATTCTGTCCATGAAATCTTCACCTTCCCTTATAAACTGGAGTGTGGACAAGCATGCCTCAAGTCCCTGTATCTTCTCCTCCAGTAGGGCTACCAATTTACACTTCCAGCAAGTGTAATTGCTGTTACCCTCAGTTAAGAATATGAACATGCCACAGACTTTGCACGTCACTGCCTCAGCTCCCTCACCAGCCATGCTGGTGCAATCCATTTCAAAATCAGTTTAGTTCAACTGGCACTTCCTTGATAACTCCCCTTCCAAACTGCCTCTCAAGACTACTTGTGAAAGGTTTGCAGAAGCAAAAACAAGCAAAACCAAAAACAAGTGGATTCTTTCACCTAGAAATACCTTGGTGTGCTGATGTACCCTGAAATTTAGAGAACTGACCAAATGGCTACCTGAGGCAACAGGGGAAACAAGCACAGCAATGTACAATTTTCTTAACTTCTTATGGGGTCCCCAGGCCGGATTCCCAGGCTAAGAGCCACAGGGCAAAAGCCCTTTGGCTTGTGCCTCTGGCAAGGAGGAGCCTAATATAAATAAAGGCTCACCCAGCAAAGAGGCCAGCAGTTAGCCTCAGGCAAAACTCCTAAAAGCTGCAATCAGTTACACCCAGGCAAAAGACAAAAACAGAAACCACACTTCCTCAAACGAGCACCACTCTCCAACAGGCTATACACACCTACACACCCTCAGACACTATCCTCCCACACAGTACCCTCAGCTGCTTCTCAGCTTTTTCTCATAGGGAAGGTGCTCCAACTCCTTAATCATCTTGGTTGTCCTCCTCTATACTTTTTCCAGCACTGCAATGTCCTTTTTGAGACACAATGACTGGAACTGTATACAGTATTCCAAAGGAGGCCACACCATAGATCCATACAGGAGCATTACAGTATCGGCCATTTTATTATTATCTCATGAGTGCTAAATTTACTCAGGAATCTTTGGTGAGATACCTTGCCTTTTGAAAATCCAAGTATATAATCTCTACCAGGTTACCGTTGTCTACATGCTTTTTCGCTTTCTCAAAGAACTCCAAAAAGTTGGTGAGGCAGGACTTGCGTTTGCAGAAGCCATGCTGATTTTCCTTTAGTAGGCTTTGTCCCTCTATCTACCTAACAATTCTGTCTTTGATTACAGTTTCTACTAATTTGCCCGGGACAGGTGTTAAGCTGGCCGGCCTGTAATTTCCTGATTCCCCCCTAGATCCCTTTTTAAAAATTGGTGTTTTAACCTTTTAGTGGATGGTCCAGTTCTGAAAATAAGGTGGTTTGTTATCTTGTACAGGTTTATAGTATCATTTCTACCTAAAACTAAAAGCAGTAGTTGCTATTCATTTGGTCATCATGTTCATTCATGTCTGTTTATTTGTCCTTACAGTTGATGAAGGAAGTGTTAAAGAATTGGGTCGAGTTCGGATCCTTCACAAGAGAACGGTCATGCCTTACAGTGTGTATAAGAGAAGACGAAAGGGGCCCAGTGATGAAGAAAGTGTTCAGCAATATGCCACTTTGGTGGGACAGGCGTGTTCAGAGCGAATGTTGCTCTTTAAAAGCTGAAACGTTTGTTCTATGGAGACCTTCTGCCCTACCGCTAGATTGTGCCCCTTATGGTTTGAGTTGATAAGCTGATGTATTCAAAGTAGGGATGTATAAAATGTCTCTTTATGGTAACAGGAATATAAACAAGTGTCATATCTTGAAAGGAACATATAATTTTTCACATATACCAAGGGTCTGTCAGAATATAAAGATCTCTCACTAAACCTGTTTTATTTCACAAACCTATCTCCTTTTTGCATTCGGAGAATCAAACAGTGTGAAGTTTATAAGTGATTGGAAATTAGTTTTTCCTGCATAGCTTTATATATATCTATGAGGAGACTTCTTTTAGGAAACTGTCTACTGAAAAGTATGATTCCAAACTGAAAAGTATTGAAGTTTTGATAAAATATACTACAAACTTTGTTTTCATTTACTGTTGTTGGAGAATTATTGTATTTGCATGCTAACACTATGAAGAACACAGCCCCATTCAGATCATTGGGAAAACAAGGGCAAATTTTTCTGGGTTATAGACTTTCCTGACATGGCACAGTCTCTGACATTATGATATAAATTCAAGTAATAAAATTCTGCTGGCTTTTTAGACATTAATTGCAAATTGTAATGTGTGGTTTAAATAATGTCTACACTAACATTTGAATAGACAAGGAACTTGGACGTTGGAGCTGATTTTTGTAATGATACTCTGGGAAATATTTATTATTTTTGGTATTCAAGGATAGGTTTGTGATCAAATTACCAAAGAGAATAATTTAAATAAGGCAACAAGTTTAAAAGTGGGTATACAGTTTTATAGATGAGCGGTGGCATCCCGACTTGCATCCCAGGTTTTTTGTGTTCGTAAAGGCTATTTGCATACATTATAGAATTCTGGCATTCCACTTCCAGCAACATGAAGTTCAACACGAAGGAATAATATTTTTGTTTTAATAATAAGCAATTGAAAAAGTAGAACTGAATTGTCTTTGCATAACTTTGCACTACGAATGTTGTGTGAATTTTCTTTCATTAAAATTGTGAGACTCAACTGTACATTTTGAAGCTTCATTCCTTGGTAAATTTTTATTTTATCAATTTGTCTCCTTTTTCTAGTACGGTTGAAGACTCCAGCAATCGATCTGGAATTTTTTTTGTATCAATACCTTGCATGGAATTAGCTTGGAAAGACCAGCCCGTATTCTCAGATTCTCTTACTTGGTAGCATACTGTGTGCACATTGCAGTGTGCAGCCACAGGGCTAAATATTGGGGACTTCAAAAGACAAAGCTTACCTTCAAGGAAGGATCCCTATAGTCATTTTATAAACCACAATTTCATGGTTAGAATAAAGGTAGCATTAGCGTTCCCATGATTTTTAAGAGTGTCACAAAACAGATGTGAAGCCTAGAATATTATTTTTGGGTGGGGGAGGGGGGGTGTCTGTCTTTCTTGGGCAAATAAACCAACACTTTGTACATAACTGCATATTTAGCACTTTGAAAAATACTGCTGAAGTCCCTGCAGTTCTGAGAAGTTTGTTTGTGTTCTCAATCTTGCAAAATAAAGGTCCACCGAATATCTTGACACTTCAGATTTAACTTTGATTCTGGTCAGAGTAAAATTCCTATATGGATTTCATATTCAGGATACATGAGAGAAATGCTGGGCCGTACTCTGGTTTTTATACTCTGTCTGTCTTATCCAAAAGCTATTTATTGTATGTTTCCTACCCACAACCATTTATCCACTATGGACTTGGAGGAGTCACAATTGAACTTTAGATTTTCTTCTCGGCAGAAGAAGAAGAAGAGAAGAGATTGGATTTATACCCCGCCCTTCACTACCGAAAGGTGTCTCAGAGCAGCTTACAAGCTCCTTTCCCTTCCTCTCCCCACAACAGACACCCTATGAGGTGGGTGGGGCTGAGAGAGCTCTTGACAGAAACTGTTCTTTTTCAAGAACAGCTCCTTATCAGAGCTACGGCTTGCCCAAGGCTATCCAGCCAGGTGCAAGTGGAGGAGTGGGGATTCAAACCCGGTTCTCCCAGATTAGAGTCCGTGCACTTAACCACTACACCAAACCAATCCTCCTTCAGTAAGGCCTCTTAATGCTCCCTATGCAAGTGTTCTTCAGGAGGTGAATACTCCTGATTACATAGTTCTCTTTGTAATTAGCCATTTTCTCTTAACGGTTACGTTATATCACAGTAGTAGAACCCTGCTAAAGACATTCAGACAGTTCCTTTCTTGTGGTTCTTCTCTCCTCTTTGGAATACCAAATGTGCCTGAAGTGTCTCTATAATCCAGACAAATGAGCCAGGTCACTTGCAGGTTACTGCAAGAGAAGACAAAAACCCTTGCTAACAAATCTGTACTGGCAAGTGCCTTCCTGGCCTGAAATACAGTGGCCAAAGTCTCACAACAATCAAACCCAACCCACTGGGGTCCAGTACACATGCTACTGAGATTGCACTGGGTCACTTGGGTAATGTGTGTATCCTCTGTGTGAGCAGGGCAGAAAATGTGGATGCAAAACAGATAGACTATTCTTAGATGGAGTTCTAGTCACAAAGAATAAGCAGTGTTTATTGAGGTGTTCTAGACATACACAATTTGCTAGTGCTGATTTCTCTTGTGCGGACAATACATACTGGTTTGTTTGTTTCTCCTGATCAACACAAACAATAATAGATATGATTTTTCAAAAAGTGGAAGTGGAAAACATTCTGTTAGTCTATTTGATAGCTTCCTTAAGTTGAAGGATAATACCTTTATTTGTGTAGAGGCTTACTGTATATAATTTTCTTACTGATATTTCTTGTTTTTGGCGTCATTTACTCAGAACATATGAGGAATTTAATAGCTATAATCTTCTTTAATTATGTGTTTTCTACCTTTGAACAATAACTGAGTTGAGCAGTAAAGTTCTCTAATTTTGATGAATCAGCACTATTAAAAATGGGTATATTGTCCTTAATACTCTTGTATTTCAAGACTTAGCCTGTGCCAGAGTAGATATGGCACCTCCTTCAGTAAAGTTGGATTCATCCCAAAAGTAAAGGCTTTCATCATTGTCACCATATTTTATTTATAGTATTAATAATATCATTAGTATTTCCTGTATAAAAGGCTATTTGCTGCCTGCAAGTTGCCCATCTTGGGCCCCTGCCACACGGCAGGGAAACCACGAGGCAAAAGCGCGGCTAATAGAGCCGCTCCAACGTTGAGACGCTGCGGTGGGATCCCCGCAGCGCCTCTTCTCCCCGGCAAGAGCAGACGCCGGGGAGGACGAGCCCGATGGGAGGGGGAGGCTGCCGAACTGCGCATGCCCGAGCATGCGCAGTACGGCCGGGGGCTGGGATGCGGCGGCGCAAGGACGCGCCGCCGATCCCACGGCCGGCTTGGGGCGCTCCAGACGGCTGCAACCACCTAGATAGGTGGTTCGTTTTTGCAGCGGGGTATCGCCATTTGGGCCGGATCAGGGACGGAGACAGCACGCTCCCCAGATGTTGAGGTGGGATCGCGTCCGTTTGCTCCGCCCCGTTCCGTCCCGCTCCCGTCCCAACTGGGCTCGTATGAACGGGGCCTTAGTGTAGTGGCTGCCAGTCTGGTGTAGTGGTTAAGTGCGCGGACTCTGATCTGGGAGAACTGTGTTTGATTCCCCACTCCTCCACTTGCAGCTGCTGGATGACCTTGGGTAAGCCATAGTTCTGTCAGAGGTGTTCTTGAAAAGAGCAGTTTCTGTCAGAGCTCTCTCAACCCCACCTACCTCACAGGGTGTCTGTTGTGGGAAGAGAAGGGAAAGGAGTTTGTAAGCCATTCTGAGACTCCAAGTGAAGGGTGGGGTATACATTTATTTATTTATTTATTGGTATTTTTACCCCGCCCTCCCCGCAAAGCGAGCTCAGGGTGGCTTACAAGGGGCAAAGCCCATATAAAACAAGGTAAAGGCAATAAAAACATTAATAACAATTAATTACAACAACAACAACAACAATCTCCTCTTCTTTATCTGAAAATCAACTGGTACAATAAGAATTAAAGGCAAAAAAGGTGAGGAAGGAAACAAAAGAAAAGATGGAAAATTGGATTCTGAACCTAAAATCAGAACAGCTTTAGAACACTGAAGACAATGCAAAGTAGAACTAGCGGGGGGTTAAATGCTTCTAAAATAAATGGAAGAAGAAACATAGATATTAAACTGCTGTCATTTAGGCACTTTTTATTTTAAGAGATTACATGCCATGGGTTTTGATGTGTACTTAATCCTGATGCCCTATAACTGCAACTAACGACTTTAATATAAGAAATTAATGCAAAGTGCGGCAGACGTGCCTGCATGTTGTGTAGTTACACCTCAAGCCTATGGTTGCGTGCCTGATGGAGAGGAAGATGATGTAAAACTGCTGGGCGGCAGCATAATGGGTAGGATTGTAACATTAGGTCAATAGTACAGCAGATGTGCTATATCTACAAAGATTAAATTCCAGTTGAGGAATCTTAGCAGAGCTGGAAAAGCTGTTCCCTAAAACCTGGAAGGCTGTTACCAGTCATAGTCAAAAGCACAAGGCTTTAGTTTTTCCATGATCTGATGGCCCCACTGAGCTGGTAAACGTGTTTCATGGTTGTGCCACTTCAGAGCTCAGGTGCGGACTCGGAAGCTGACATGCTCTTCCCTACAAAACCCACGTTTGGGGGAGAGTTATTCTTGCTTAGCCTTCTTCCTGACATGTTTGTATTATGTACAATAAGTAATTTAGGAACATTCCATCGCGTGATTCCCCAATAATGCGGACTGAAGAGGCATAGTCCAGCCGAGGCCCAGCTCCTGCTGTGATTCAGAAAACATTTTTTCCCATAGCAGAAAGAAGCTTTAAGGCCTCAAACTAGAAGAGAAAGAGTAAAAAAGTGCCTTTCACACTTTCCTTTCATAATCCTACTCCTTTGAAAGTGTGTGGGGATAGAGACAGGCCTGATCCTTTCTCCATTTCTCAAGATACCAGAAAGGTTGCCTTAATTTAAAGGAATGCTTTCAAACGCAGACTTCCTGCAACAACTGCAGGGGAAAGCAACCAAGATGGCTGACTGAAACTGTGCCTTCAAATAAAATTATATGGTAAGTCATTGATGATTGGCCATTGTATATTTATACTGCTTCTGTTATTGTGAGGGGGAAAAAACCACTACGTGATCAAGCTATTAGTGTGCCACCAGGGGGCATGTTAAAGCTTGC